TTCTTGTACAGTAGTTTTAGAGGTTCAAACAGTACGTCCGATGCAGTATTTATTTGCTCATTTATTATTTGTCCTTTGAAGGTCTTCTGTTTATATATTTCCATATTTTCTAATATATTCAATCTTTGTCCTTTATGTTGTACACGGAGAAGTTCTGTTGTTTGTCCAATCTTCATTGGTGTGCATTTATTTTTGATCATGTGATTCGCGAAGTTCGATTCTATTGCAGCCTCTGGTTTTCGTTTTTTCTTATTATAATCCCTTATGTGTTCTCGATACCTTGTTCTTATATTTCGCCCTGTTTGTCCTATGTAACTGTGTCGGCACTCACAGGTTAACTTGTAAACACCCTGTTTATCTAGCGGGTCTTCCTCGCTTATTTTCTCTTTTAATATATTTCCCACTGTGTTCCTTGTTTTAAATGATGTATGAATGTCGTATTTATGAAAGAATTTGGCAAGTTTGTAAGATGTCCTTCCTGTGTAAGTTAGAACTGCCCAAGTTTTTTTTATTGTTTTCCTCTTTGCTAGTCTTTTTCGATTTTGTGTCCTTTCTTAACTTCCCCACCAGGCCTCTCCTATATCCGTCATTTTCCGCAATGGCATATATTGTATCCAGTTCCTTCTTGTAGTCTCTCTTGACAAATCGGGAGTGGAATTTCTGTTCTGACGGAGGTTTACATTAATGAGGAAGAAGCAGAACTATTAAAAAAAGGCCTCAAACACAACATTGAAAGTTACAACCGAAAGAGGGAACTTGAACAAACCATCGTGGATACTGAAGTTATTATATCACGGCTTCCAACTGTAGAACAGGAGCACGCCAGACACATATGTCGGCACATAATTGAAAAAGACATAAAGACCAAGAAAACTAGGAAGCAGAAGAACGAAAACCAAACCATAAAAGGGCTCAAAGAAAAGCTAAGGGCAAACAATGTTATAACCACAAAAGCAGACAAAGGCAATACCACCGTATTAATTGATAAAAAAGATTACATAGAGAAAACTGAAAGTCTAATAACTGAAATAGGGTGCAATAAATTGGGAAAAGATCCCACTGAAGAATACCAAGCAGCAATAAAGAATACCATAAAGAAAAGCACAACCATAATAAAGGATAATCTACCATATAGACTAACACTTATGAACCCGAGTGTCCCTCCGTTGATTGCCTTGCCGAAAATNGGTGCAATAAATTGGGAAAAGATCCCACTGAAGAATACCAAGCAGCAATAAAGAATACCATAAAGAAAAGCACAACCATAATAAAGGATAATCTACCATATAGACTAACACTTATGAACCCGAGTGTCCCTCCGTTGATTGCCTTGCCAAAGACACACAAACCAGGCACCCCGATGAGACCTATCATTAATTACAAGTCTGCTCCCGGATACAGACTCTCCAAGCACCTAAAGACGCTGCTGAGGGATAACCTAAATCTACGCAATAAATATACTATTACAAATATAACGGAACTAATCGAGAATATGAAATCGTTGAAGATCAATNAAGCACCTAAAGACGCTGCTGAAGGATAGTCTGGATCTACGCAATAAATATACTATTACAAATACAACGGAACTAATCGAGAAGATGAAATCGTTGAAGATCAACGAAAACACTAAATTCGTATCATTCGACATCAAGGACCTTTACCCATCGATACCAACAATAGAAACCATAAAGACCGTACAAGAAATACTGATGGGAAAAATGAAAAGAGAAGCTGTCACGGAAATAATAAACGCGTTGAAGGTTACATTAAAACAAAGCTACTTCCGGTTTAACAATAAGATATATAAACAGATTAACGGGTTAGGAATGGGCAATCCGACGTCAGCAATACTCATGGAAGTATTCATGCAAACACTGGAGGAGAAATACATGAAAAACCTATCGACCAACCTAGGAGTAAAATTCTACGCGAGATATGTCGATGATGTAATATGTCTAATAGAGGGAAACAAAGAGAAACAGATACTAGACTATCTCAACAAACAACACCAGAATATAAAATTCACCATGGAAACGGAAGAGGAAAGAAAGATTAACTATCTGGATTTAACAATTAAAATAAACGATACCACGAACAAGATAGAGTTCGAAATATACAGAAAACCAACAGCCACAGACACAATTATACACAATAGCTCAAACCACCCACAGCAACACAAAAATGCAGCATTTAAACAACTAATAACGAGGCTTGAAAGGACCCCTCTAACAGAAGAATGCTACAAGAAGGAACTGGATACAATATATGCCATTGCGGAAAATAACGGATATAGGAGAGGCCTGGTGGAGAAGTTAAGAAAGGACACAAAATCGAAAAAGACTAGCAAAGAGAAAAACAATAAAAAAACTTGGGCAGCTCTAACTTACACAGGAAAGACATCTTACAAACTTGCCAAATTCTTTCATAAGTACGACATTCAGACATCATTTAAAACAAGGAACACAGTGGGAAATATATTGAAAGAGAAAATAAGCGAGGAAGACCCGCTAGATAAACAGGGTGTTTACAAGTTAACCTGTGAGTGCCGACACAGTTACATAGGACAAACAGGGCGAAATATAAGAACAAGGTATCGAAAACACATAAGGGATTATAATAAGAAAAAACGAAACCAGAGGCTGCAACAGAATCGAACTTTGCGAAATCACATGATCAAAAATAAATGCACACCAATGAAGATTGGACAAACAACAGAACTTCTCCGTGTACAACATAAAGGACAAAGATTGAATATATTAGAAAATATGGAAATATATAAACAGAAGAACTTCAAAAGAACAAATAACAAATGAGCAAATAAATACTGTATCGGACGTACTGTTTGAATTCTAAAACTACTGTACAAGAAGAAGAATGACAACAAGAAAATATTAAGGACAGATATGGAAGGGAATACACCGACTGCAAAAACAAAGGGGGTAAAAATCACGGACTTCTACCTGCCGTCAAAAACGAGCCAAAACAATTCATCTACCTATTGAGTACCGCAAACACTGCAAAACTAAAAAGACGTACCTAACAAAAGAAAGAGGTAGTTAACAAGGAGTATAAATACGAGCAACCAACAAAAATTATGCAGAACGAAAAATGACACTGAAGATGGCACAACGCCGAAACCGGTTTGTCTCCAAACCAAATTTGACAAGGGATGACGGAAATTCGTTCCAAAATACATCATACACCCACCCTGTCGGAAACATTAACAACCAAAAAGGAAATATTACTTTTTTCGTTTTTTTTGTTGCCGTTAAGATGTTGAAATTGTAAATTATATTATTTAAAATTCCATTTCATAAAAGCTAAGCTATTCATTACAATTTGAATTTAAAAATTGTACAAACAATTGCGGCACTTGGTCCAATGTGTTAGTGGTCGCATGATGCAATTTACTATAATTCAGAAATTGCCTTCGTAGCCGATTCAGTTGAATAGCATTTACGGCCGCCGGAACTGGACCGGTGTTACCAATTTTTCGTGCAGCCAAGGCGTCGGCTATAATTTGTTGCGTTAACTTATCCAGCTCGAAAAGATAATTTGTAGCGCTTAGTGGTGGCTATGAGAATGATAGAAGTAAACAAACTAAGTATTTGCTTTTTTAATTTTTTTCTTTGCTTCTTTTGCTTTCGACTCGTATAGCGCGCCATAGATAGCCTCTAAAATAAATGCATCATTGTCAAACACTACAAACAATGGACTATTCCAACGGCAGTTGCCATGCGGCTCTTCGTAACGCATATACAAAGCATCGAATATTTCCCGTGTATATGGCACGTTCGAACTGTCCACTCGATCATCCAACACATCTGCACCAGTGCGCGGTTGGTTAAACTCCCATGCGCCTTATTACACCCTTTATAGTAGAGTTAAATTGTACCTTTAATATAATTGCCAGGCGCCACGATGACCACATCTTCTTTATTGAGCAACCGCAGTGCCTCTGATTTAATATCGCTACGCACTTGTTTTTTTTTTTTGAGAATCCGCTAAGTATTCGTTTTTAGAGAAACCGGCATTTGCTATAAAAACCATTCATGCGCACATAATTCAGTTCAATTGTTTTAAACTATATTTTATTTACTTTAATGCACTGCATTTGTATGCAAATTGGTAATTTTCTCGTTTGATATTTTATGTTTCTCAAGCAACAACAAAATACATGGAAGGGTTGCATTTGCTCTTCTGTTATTACCTGTTTATTGTGCCATGTAGTATGCCTTGTTTCATGCTCGCACTCAACTGTGTGCGTACGCAAAGCATTCGCATGTGAACAACAAGTTTTGATAGATGTGTGTGGGCGTCCATAACAATACAAATGGATTTATTTGCGTGTGCTAACGTTCACGCTACGTTCGCATTGAACTGTATATCCAGCAGTGCTGCCAACTATTTTCAAGTACATATACATATCTACATACATACATCAAAGAACATTTGTTTTCCTTGTTAGCTGTGGTGCAAAATATAAAAGTCGGCGAATTTAAAGAAAAAATTAATAAAAATAAGTATATTCAATTTGTATATATAAAAAAAATGAGCAAAAAAAACTTTTTTAAGGCTATGTGGATAGAGAAGAAAAAATTTGAGGCCAGTGCGCTTAGGTCGACTGTGGAGTCAATGACTACAGTGCCGAAATACAACGCAACGCCAACGTGCGACTCCAGCAGAACCTAGGAATGGAGACAGATGGACCAAACGGCGCTGCGGAATTTGTTTTTAGCGACAAAAATTCAGACCCCGATGAAAAATTTGAATAATTGTCTGAGCTCAGTAGCTCTGAGAAAGCTTGCGAAATTAAGTTAATATTCAACAATATATTTTTATAAATAAAACAAACGCATAAACAAAATCGAATTGTATTTTTTAATTTGGTTTCATGTATTTTTGAATATTTCGCTGCCATCTATTCACTAATTTATCAATTATTTAGAAGTTAGAATAGTGGTCAGAAAAATCACTAATTATCGTGATATTTTCCCAATAGTTTCATCGCTAAACATACTTGTAATTCACCAACTAGATTACGTGTATGAGCGAGTGAATAACTCAGCACGATTCTGAATAGAAACTCCCTGGGAATTTTTCTTCATTTCTCTTTCCTCCTATAATGAATGAAAATTTTCCGAGGATTTTTTCTCTTTTCCCTTTCCTCCTATTCTAAACAAATTTCGAAAAAGCGAAATTGCATTTCGGGAAATAAGTAGCTATAAGTAGCCCGATATAATGGGAGAAATTTCGTTGAAAATTTGAACGGGAGTTAATGCAAGAATGTAAGTAATTCGGGTTTTAAAACTTATTCGGAAATATAAATCCTTAGGTTTCTATTTATAGGTCGAAAACAACGAACAAGCGACAACTGTAAATTTTATTGGTCTTAATGCAAGTCAGACCTGATATAACTCGTGGTTTCCATAAAGGTAGCAAAAAAGAGGTTGCTCGGTTTTGGCGGAACGCTGAAAAAAAGCTAAACTCGGCAGGTCTGCCAAATAAAAATATTACGGAATGAAAGAAGGTTTGTCAAAGGGTTTATATCCACGGTTTTCGTCTAATTAATTAATTTCTGAATCGTTTTTAGGTTTAGACCGACCAAAGGAAATACATCCGTCATAAGGCGTCGCAAAATTTGAAGGCCAGCAAAGGTGCTGGTGGTGGTCCAAACCTCCAGTAATCATTCTCTCCAATGGAAGAAGCTTGAATCTGGTGGGAATGAAGGAATCAGTCGAAGGAGTTGCGGCGAAAACTTTTGGGTTGCCGTCTTCGAGTGGGTCTAATAGCGCGACAGAGGCAGAAGCAGATTATGCGCATAACTCTGTTGAGTATTTATATGAAGCGCTCATACAAGAAAATATAGAGCCTACAAAGCTTACCAGGCACAACCGATAAATCGCCGCATTACCAATTCATGAAGTTCCACTAGGAATGTTCGATATTTAAGAAAGTATCGATAAAATGAATCGATGAATTCATTGCATGTAAAATCGATATGGCGATATATCGGGCTGAACAATATCGATATCGGAAAAATCGATGTTGAAAATCCTATTCCAAATTGAATAGAATCCCTGTAAGAAGCCTGACCTATGGTTATCGGTAAATTATTGGAAAACTGACTAAATGGAGTTTAGCGGTTAGTTTTGTATGGGCTTGGGGGAAACAGTGACCACTTCTCCGGGCGTGTGATAGTGCATCCCTTTCTTGCACACACATGCGTGCAGTTGGCTTACAGTATGTTCACTCCTCATACATGTCATCTAGTTGGTGATGTACAAGTGAGCTTAGCGATGAAACTATTGCGAAAACATCACGATAATTAGTGATTTTTCTGACCACTATTCTAACTTCTAAATAATTGAAAAATTAGTGAATAGATGGCAGCGAAATATCAAAAAATACATGAAACCAAATTAAAAGATGCAATTCGATTTTGTTTATGTGTTTACTTTATTTGTAAACAAATATATTGTCGCAAGCTATTTTTATGGCTACTGAGCTCAGACAATTCTTCTAATTTTTCATCGGTTCTGAATTTTCGTCGCTAAAACCAAATTCCTCAGCGCCGTTTGGTCCTTCTTCCTCCATTCCTAGGGCTGGAGTCACACGTTTGTGTTGCATTGTATTTCAGCACTGCAGTCACTGACTCCACAGTCGACTTAAGCGCACTGGCCTCAATTGTTTTCTTCTCTATCCACATACAAATTGAATACACTGATTTTTATTAATTGTTTCTTTGAATTCACCGACTTCTTCTATATTTTTCACCACAGCTAACAATGAAGTAAACTTTCCTTGATATATGTATGTATATATATATGTGAACGTACAATCGATAGTTTCTTTACGATATGGTCAGCCATTTTTTATAAGGTATTATACCAGCCTATCAACTCACCTAATTCTGTTATTTCCATCTTGTTTATCTACTGAGGATTAAAACGGCATGCCGGTCGACTCAAACGGTTTGTCAAACTTAAGACCTAAATAAATCACACAAGCTGCTGATTAAACCTACTTTAGTATTTTCCCATACACTTTTTTGGAGATGAAAAATAAATTTCAACTTAAATATCAATATTGCGGGCAAAGTATCGATGTCTTCGATATATCGACCTTGGAATATCGATTCAAAAAATTGATTATCGTGCCATGAAATATTGATATTCGATACGATATCGAATATTATTAGGTTCCATAAAGAACCAGAAAGCCAACTGGAAAGACAGCATCGGCGAAAGGTGGTACGGAGGCTCTTGGAGCTGACTTAAAGATTCAGCGAGAGATATTAGAAAGCATAAGGACGGCAGTAACAAATATTGCAGAGCACAATGAAGAGCCAAAACGGCATTACGCTTCAGTGGAGAGATTGAAAGCCGAGGAATTAAATGAAATGCGGAGGCATAATGAGCAAAAACGGCACTTCGAGGAAATAGAGAGGTTGAATACCCAAGGACTCATTCAAATGCGGCGTCATAATGAGCTCTTGAAGGAGTTAATAAATTTAAAAACGTAATTTTCTATGAGAGGCCTTAAAATGGTATGCAGGGTATATCGATGGTCCTCTGTAATAACGACATAATTAAAGTTTCAAAAAGTAAAAACCCTTACTTCTGTTAAGAGGCTCATGTCCTTAATCCATATCTAATTCTTACTAAAGTAAGGATTAGAGACATGAGTAGTTAAGTGTTAAGTGTTTTTCGAACCCTCAAGTGTGTCGTTATTGCAGAGGACCATCGATATATGTATATAATACAATTTTCAAAAAAAAATTAAAGAAATTTATTAAAAGTGGTAGAACTTTTCAAAGTTCTGTAAGTTTCTTGTTAATTTGGTGGAGCATGGATAATACTACAAAAAAATTAGCACATAAAATTTGCCAAAAATGCAACCAAAAATTCATTGTACGGTCACATATTTTAAGTACTGTTAGACATGTAAAAGAATTGCAGTCGATTTTTTATTTTTTTAAGTCAATTGTTTATGTTGTTTTTATTTAGTATGTAAAAGCATAAACAGACGGCAGCGGTGATCCGGATCAACTCGGGAATTAACTGCAGTTGCCGTCTGTTTAAGCTTTAAGTACTGTTAGACATGTAAAAGAATTGCAGTCGATTTTTTATTTTTTTAAGTCAATTGTTTATGTTGTTTTTATTTAGTATGTAAAAGCATAAACAGACGGCAGCGGTGATCCGGATCAACTCGGGAATTAACTGCAGTTGCCGTCTGTTTAAGCTTTAAGTACTGTTAGACATGTAAAAGAATTGCAGTCGATTTTTTATTTTTTTAAGTCAATTGTTTATGTTGTTTTTATTTAGTATGTAAAAGCATAAACAGACGGCAGCGGTGATCCGGATCAACTCGGGAATTAACTGCAGTTGCCGTCTGTTTAAGCTTTAAGCTAAAAATGAATTATATTTGTTTTCTTCTTTGTGTTTTTTTTTTATATAATATGTACATACATACATACAGTCAGCGACAAAAATATGCATACTCTGACGTTTTGACGATTCTATTTATTTATATTATCCATACCAAATGTTTTTTTTTTTTTTTTTAAACATAGTTCATTCAACAGCAAGAGCCAATAGAATCAAATTTTTTAATTTCATAAAATTTTGATTATAATTATAAATTTTTCGATTTCTTGGAAAAATTTTAAGTAAGCAGTTTTGTAGCTCACTGAATTTTAGTATAACAAAGTGCAAGCTTAAAGTCGCTAAAAATTACGTACTTTCTTTCATGTAAAAGAAGATTGTGTTCATGCGTTATACGGAAGAAAATGCACAACACAATGGGCAAAAAATCTCAAAAATTAACGGTAATTTGTAGTGAACTTAAGCTTGCTCTTTATTGTACTAAAATTCTTGAGCTACAAAACTGCTTACCCAAAAGTCTTCTAAGAAATCGAAAAATTTAAAATTATAATGAAAATTGTGTGAGTTGAAAAAATGTTATTCTTGTGGTTCTTGCTTTGAATTAACTATGTTTAAAAAAAAAGAAAAATTTGGTATGGAAAATATAAATAAATAGAATCTTCAAAACCTCAGGGTATGTACGGTGCAATGGAAAGTAGCGTTGATCTGATTTGGATACAGGTAGAATTACCTCATTGTCTATACTACCCACCTGGGATTGAAAAGTATTAGCATGTAAACTTTAACTTCAATGAGGTTGCCCAATCTTACTTTCATACTTGAGATACATTCAGCTTAATTTCAATCAGTTTTAAACTGACATGTAGGCCTTCTCTTCGGGTACTGACTCCTGCAAGCTGTTCATGAAAGGATGTACAATATAATAGTGGGTAGCCTAAGTGTGCACTTACTTGAGATGGTTTGCTATATGGCCTTATTGAGCAGAAAAGCTGGTGCCTCTGATTACATTTGTAGTTACTGCAGCAACTCATCCACGAGCTGATCGGAGGGCCTTCTCCAGCATGTCCATACGTGAGCGTATTAGCACATCACCATTACCGCCATCAGTAGCGGCATTAGCATAAGAGACTGAACGAATTTTGTAAAGGTTATAGGCGCATATTCATAGTCATATTTAGTTCACAACTAAGTCGAAACTATCTTAAGTTACAACTAAAGCTATTCATAGTCGCCTTAATTTCGACTTTTCTGGCTAAGTACCAACTTAAAATTTAGTTTCGGCTGCAACTGCAATTAAGTCGTAACTAGGAAGAAGTATTTTATTAAATTAAGGAAAAAAAGACGAAATATGTAAAAATTAAGTTGGCAGAGCGTGATTTTGATAATATTGAATGATCTCCAATTGAAATTTACAAAGGAAATGGATCGCCCATTTGAATCGGAAGATGAAATTAAATGCGCATTACAATTCCAATGAGGCTACATTTATAATTGGAATGATTTACATTTGTATATAAATGCTCAAATAATAGGTAAATTTCATGCTTGTTCTTTTAAAGAAAATTAGTGCATAACATTTAGATATGTGTTCGTATGTTTCACAGAATGATTTCGATAAACATCGACTTCACATCATTGCGGTAGTTCTGGCGATTTCACACAATTAACAAGAAACTTATACCTTATTCTTTTGCATAAATTACATAAACGGATGATCAAACTTGACATTATTTAATAAAAATGTCGTTTTTTTCAAAATATCGTAACGAAAAATCGATACATTTTCACACTCGTTTTGCAATATCGTAAGTTAAAACTACTTAGGGCCGGTGGCTCAAAGCCTAGTTGATACTAACCATCGGTTAATATCGTTATCGACGTTTTCGACTCCATGCATATAACATGGTGTCGGTAACGTCGATAACGATGTTTAACCGGGGATTAGTGTCAATCAGGCTTTGAGCAACCGGCCCTAAGTAGAAGTCTGAAATGCGACTATGAATAGAAGTGAATTTTAAGTTGGTACTTAAATTTAAGTTGCAACTTTATTAGTTTCGACTTAATGGCTGGACTATGAATACGCGCCATAGTATTTACTATAGACAATGGGCCCTATGCATAAAAACTAAGGAATTGCTTTTTCTTAAAATTTCATACCCCTCACTTATATTTATTTAACACAAATGAAGTAAAAGTTCTGAAACTACTTCAAAGATGTATGATTTTTATAAATTAAAGAAGCAACTATAAAAGAACTCCTCCAAAAGGCCTTCTGAAATACGTCCTATAAAAGCCCTTCTGGAAGGCCTTCTATGGGTAGTGAAAGAAGAAACCCTTCAATTTGTGCCACTCCATACAAAAAAGAAACGGAAGGGAATGTAGAGTGGAATCCTCTAGAATCTCAGGAAGGTTTTCCGGATAGGATTTTAGCTCCTGAAATTATATACCGGGGTACTATAGTACTCACATATAACTTAAGGTTTACACCGGACAATACTGTCATGAAAATAGCAATACATGGACACTTTTTCCCTAATACATGCATACTTTTCCAATTGTCTCAATCATTGTCTTGATTATTTTCAAGACAGGAAATCGGACAATGATTTGACGTATGCAGACAATAATTTTGACGTCTTGTGCAAGGAAGAAGAGAATTTCATAACAAAAGATCTAAAATAACACTAGAGACGCTGATGTGCTTGTAACTTTGTCTCTTCTTTACTATTTTTTACTTATTAGCTTAAATAGCCCGCGCGAAACGCGAATTTTAGTACAACGTTCACGTCCGACATTTTTCTCAAAATGAATTGTCATAACTATTGCCAGGGCGCCTACGTCACGGAGACAATGATCAGCGTTTTTGACAACTAATACGTATATCTTCATTGTCTTGACAGCATTGTCCAATGTAAACGTGCGGCGCCTATGTTAGCATATCGCGAGTTTGTATGTATGCATTCGACAAGTGAAAAAGCAAAAGCATTCCCATTACCCGATTCCCAGTATTTGTAGTACGGTGCACAGCTCTGGTAACCGGGCGAACGATAAAGCAGTTCTGAGTGTGTGTGTGTGAATATGTGATCCTGCGAAAGTGGAGCTTTTGAGTATGCGTGAGCGGATCAGGATGAGCGGATTGCTCGACAGGGTCATCTCCTATAAAAGACCGTCAGGGCATATCAACGGGATTATTGTCAAAGTAGCGGCCAGATAGTTAGTGGCTTCTTAAATTGTGCGCGTAAGTTACGAGTGAAAAAATAATTAAAATAAAAAAGAGGCGGTTCAAGCCAAACAAGCGGTCTTTGTATATACCGCCAGCTAAACAGTTGCCAGCAGTATTAGTGGAAGTCTGGGGAATCTGAGGTAAGTCATTATGATTGTCTTAACCGCGTATGCTTATATAATAGTTAAGAAGCGATATTTTCGCGCTCATATTTGCAGAAACGCATGCGTACCAATGTACATGCTTATATGTGTATATTTGGTATTGCAGGCATATGAAAGCAGCTATCAATGTCCACATGTATCTGGCAGTTGAT